CTGAACTCCAACCCCGAAACCCTAAAGCCTACGAAGCCCAAGTACAGGAGGGAAGATTGGATCCCGGAGCCGCCTTTGCTGCGATCCGCCGAGCCTTGTGGGGCTCTTAGAGCACTCGCTGGGAGGGGCCTTTGTTGGGTTGTTTGGGAGTTTTGGTGTTTTGAGGATTTAGGGGTTTTGGGGTGCTTTTGGGTTTGGGGGTTTTAGGGTTTTGAGGGTTAAGGGATTTTGGGGTGCTTTTGGGTTTGGGGTTTTGTCGGAAATTTAGGGTTTTGAAACCCTAAACCCTAAACCGTGTGTAGATTTCGAGATTTAAGCTGAATCCTTACTCCCTGAACCCCAAAGTGCCCCGAAGCCCTTAATTGATCCTAAACCCTTACGCCCTTAAACCCCTAATCCTTAACCCTGATCCGAAACCTACAGTAGAAGCCATGAAGCTTCTTCTAGAGAGAGAGAGAGAGAGAGAGAGAGAAAGAGAGAGATGTACATGTATATACCCCCAACCCTAAACTCTGAACCCCTTAACTATACATCCATACATACATACATACATACATACATACATACATACATACATACATATTTATATATGTACATGGACATATATATATATATATACATACATAAGTGTGTACATATATATATATATATATATATATGTTTGTACTACATATAATATATATATATATATACATGTAACATTTATATATATACACATGTGTCCTCAACCCTGGATCCGAAACCGAAGCTAAAGCCTGGCATCACTACCCGAGACCTGCGCCGGCTCCTTCAAGCTCTGGCTCCTTGCTCTCAGAGCTTTAAAGGTTCAGGGTTCATGGTTCAGGGTTTAGGGGTTAGGGGTTCAGGGTTTAGGGTTTAAGGGTTTAGGGTTTAAGGGTTTAAGGTTCAGGAGTCAGAGGTCCTAGCAGTCGATTAGAGTATAGTTTGCTATAGTAATAGTACATACAGTCATATAGTCTAGGAGTTTAAGGTTTTGGGTTTAAGAGTTAGGGCTTTAGGGCTTTAGGGCTTTAAGGACTAGGGTTTCGGGTGCAGGGTTTAAGGGTTTAGAGCTTTGCCGTTCATTTATCAGCTTTAGCCATGGGAGGCTTTTGCAATTTCGAGTGCAGGGTTGGTTTGCGATGTCTAATTTCGGGGCTCGGCGTTGATGATTTTGGGTTTAGGGTCTGTGGTGTGTTAGTATTAGTTGCGTCGATGTGGGGTCCTTCCAAGTTGCTGATTTTCGGCCTCAGCGTCTTGGCAATAGTTTCATGCTTCCCCTGTTTCTTATCATTCGTGCTTGCAGTTCAGTGTTCACCCTGGCGAACTTGTTTGTGGTCATGCCTTCCTTGCAGGTTGGCCCTGTCCGATGTGTTCTTTTGAAGTTTCCAGAAGGTGGGTCTTCGATTGAAGTCATCATCTTGTCTGCAGCTGTTTGAAACAATCGCGGATCCTACCCTTGCAGTACAACTTGGTGTCGACACATGTTCAGAGCTCAGCTGCTTCTGAATATCATCGCTGCTGTTGTCAGTCTGGAGAGCAATACCGTCATGGCGAAATGCTTGTCACAGCTGTGCTGAGCAGGAGGAGGAGGAGGAGGAGGGGCAGGAGGAGCAGGAGGAGGGTCTTCGGCGTCGCTGTCGTCGTCATAGCAGCAGTAGCAGCAGTAGCAGTAGTGGTAGCAGTAGCAGTAGCAGTAGCAGTAGGACTAGGACTAGGATTGGGACTAGGATTAGGACTAGGACTAGGACTAGGACTAGGACTAGGACTAGGACTAGGACTAGGACTAGGACTAGGACTAGGACTAGGACTAGGACTAGGACTAGGACTAGGAGTAGGAGAGGAGTAAGGAGTAGGAGTAGGAGTGGGAGTAGAGGTAGAGGTAGAGGTAGAGGTAGAGGTAGAGGTAGAGGTAGAGGTAGAGGTAGTAGTAGCAGCAGCAGAAGTGTTGCCTGGAACCCCAACACTGTTTAGTCACTGGTTTTGAGAGTGGATGGTTATTTGCCGGTCTCACGTCGCTGGAGCTCAGGCCCCTACACGAAACCCTTATGGTACCCCTTATACTATGTACGCCCTCTATAGTACCCCTGCAGCATCCCTTGAAAGAAGCCTAAGAGTACTCTCGAGCCAAGGTACGGCCTCTGCCGCGGCCAACTTGGCCGGCGGAGCGCCCCATGCAGTCAGCGGAAGATGCGCAAAAAGAGCTGACTTGAAGCAGTGCAATATTTTGGGTACCGCCCGCACTCTGTAACAGCTGTATATTACTATATATATATATATATTTATGTGTATATATATACACATGTATATATATATATATATATTTATGTGCTTATATATGTATATATTTTTTTTATATTTATGTATATATATATATGTATGTATGTATATGTATGTATGTATATATGTATATATATGTACATATACTATTTTCTGTATATATATATATATCTATGTATACATGTGTATATGTATATATATATATATGTGTGTATATATATATATGTATATATATATATATATGTATGTATGTATATGTGTATATGTATATGGCTATATATATATATCTATATATATATCTATATATATATGTACATATATATATGTACATATATATGTATATATATATATATATATATTCATGTATATGTACATGAATATGTATATGTATATTTTTGTATATATACATATTTATGTTTATCTTTATCTATACCTATATCTAAAACTATATATATATACACACACGAACTTTACACGTATTCTCACGGTAAGTTTTATCCCCTGTGCTTTTTTCGCTGTATGTCAGCCACATAGCATGTTTATGGTTGTGTGTTTACTCGATTTTGTTTATGCTGGTGTATTTTTGCTTCGTGCATGTGTAAAACGGTCATGTGCACAGACATGTATGAGGGTGCAAACATTGCATGAGTCTCCACATAAGATGTGTGCGCTCGCCCAGATTCCAGCAGAAGATTTCGAACAACCGTGCGAGCCTCTTGGAACCTCAGGCAGGCCTGCATTGCGGTTCGTTTCGATGGGTTCGGGATTTTTTCATAATTCTTTCAAAATGCAAAGCAGTGGGCCCGCGAAAGGTTCGATCTGGGACATAGACGAAGACCTACAGAGCACATGCTCTCATTCTGCAGGTGTACAAATCCCAAGCCCGTTGTTGCGCAATGCAGCGGTACACACAAAAGCAAAGTTTGAGATTTGCGGCTTGACTGGGTTGTGAGACGAAGCAAAGACACACTTGCCAGTTGCCTTCATCGTCGTCGTCGGCATCAGCATTAGCATTACCCTACTAGTGCTATTCCCTCCAGTACAACTACTAGTACTACTACTACTACTACTACTACTACTACTAACTACCAGTGCCACTACTGCTACTACTGCTACTATTGTTGTTATTACGACTACTACTGCTACTGCTACGGTTGCTGCTGCGATTCTTATTATTACTACTCCTCCCCCTGCTGCTGCTGCTGCTGCTGCAGCTGCTGCTGCTGCCGCCATGTCGCACGAAAGTCGAAACGAAAGCAACAATCTGCGAAGGAACCGTTTCCAGAAGAAGGCATATTGATCATCTTCTGGCTGTTTCAGCAGGTGGTACTGCAGCATTTTATGCGCTGCTGTATCGACGTGGGAAGCAGCCAGAAGGCCTTCCCCGTGATTTTTTCATCGGCAAGGATGTTGCCCATGCCAGCCAGGAGCTGAGAAACCTGCCACACATCGGTTTGTTTCGGCTCCAGATAGTGATCCCAAGCTTTAGCTTTGCCGCCGAGGCGACGAGCTAGACTTCTATGCCCGGCTTCGAGAGGACGAAGTTTTCGCTTGTTGGGGCCCATTAAGAGTGTTGGATGTGGAGGGCGTAGCTGATGAGAGAAGGGGCCTGCGTTCGCGGAAAGGCGGTGAAAGAAGGTGGGAGCTGGGCGGCTTTCGGCTGTATGGCCATGGCTTGCCCTGGCATCGTGCGCTTGGTCTCTTGGCAAGGGATAGCAGACTTGTCTTCCAAGTTCACAAGATCTGAGCTGAGGAGTGTTTGGGTGCCAAATCGCATCTGCGGACCAAGCGGTTGCTGTTGCTCCTTGAGAACTTACGCCATGGTTTTGAGCGTATGCGGCTCCTGGATGTGAAGCTAGGGGCCGAGACATCCGTGGCAGGCTGGAAGGGAAAAAGTCGATTGAATGCGTGGAAGAATGCATGCGTGGACCAGCGAACGAACTCGGCTGTGGAGGGCTTCCGCCTCGAGGGCATGGAGCTACCTCCACAGTCTCTCGAGAAGAGGATTTTGGAGGTACTCAAGGCCAAGAGCACGGCCACTGCCAAGTACATTTCACCGAAGGTCATACGGCGTTTCACCTTGCAAAGGCTCCGGGCAGCTGACTTCCTGGAGTCATGGCTGGACGTGTCAGATCTGGGAGCTGGCGCAGAGCTACATGCCCAGAAAGCAGCTTTGGCCACTTTCAAGCAGACGCAGCTATTGCTCACAGCTGTGCTTGGTTTGGACGTTCCACAACAATGGATCGGCTCGTCTGTCGCTTTGGCCATGGAGGTTGGCAGCTGTTGCTTGCAACCGCGGGTTGCGGTGAAGGTTTTCGATTGGGGCCGGGCCGAGCTCAACACGTTAGACGACTTCAATTCTTTGGCTTCTGAAGAGAAGGAGAGCCGTAGACGTTACTGGAAGCAGTACTTGCAAGCTCTGGCGCGTATGCACTGGGAGTTGGGCCGTCTGGTGGCTCACCGATTCTGTTGCCCCGCATGGTCTGTCTTCGTGATGGAGCTGCGGGCTGTCACGCCGGTCGTGCTACGTGCGGCCTTGCTGGGCGAAACCCTTTCAGCCTCTCAGGCCATAAATCTTGGAGAGCCATCTGCACAACTCTTTTTGTAGCATGAAGTTCAAATCCGTATCCTGCCTTCAGATGCTCCAGGAGGTTCTTGGCATGGGACTTTTCCAGATGTCTCCAGAGGGCGGTCACGGAGAGATCTCGTTGCCGCTGCTGGGCGCTGTTCGGCAGGCCATCAAAGCCAGCGAAGGGTTTCGGATGAATTGCATCTGGATCATCTGGCGAAGCTGCTACAAACGAAGCAGAAAGACAGAACTCAACAACGTACATGTATGTAAGCTAAGTTAGAAAATGAGGGACATGATCAAGGAGTAAGGTTTACCTGCACATGTACATTCTAGGCCAACGCGGTGAGCCACCATGCTTCGCATTCGGTGGAGCGGTGGGAAGCATGTTTTTCATCTGAGCTCCCGGCTATCCCTGAGCGTGTCCCGTTTATTTGCTGGCTGTCAGGAGACTCTGCTGGGTTCTCTCCGACTCCGTATCGGCATTCCAGTTCATGGGATCGGTGCTTGCTCCGTCGAGGCACAGAAACGGGTCGAAAGAGAGCCAAACGACAGCCACAGAGTTCCTTGATGAAACGCCAGGTTTGCGAGACCTTTGACGCATCTGGGCTGCTTCCAGTGACTGCATGCTGGGCATTCTGCAAGCATCGCTCAAGCTCTCGAGGTGGAGGTCGGCGACCTGTTTGGCTGCATCGTAACTGTGAAAGTCATTGCTTTCGAGCGGCCCGGTGATGCGCGGATGCACTTGGAGGCGCAGCGAGCCCGGGTTTGGGGGCAGCAGAAACATGGCCTGCATGGCACTTGATGCTGACGCGGCGCATAGGCATTCCAGTCTGGGTGCCCGGCTCCTCTACCACGAGGGCACGTCTGTTGCCGCAGCACTTCTCCGGCCACTGCGACACAGAGCAAGCTTGTCTGGCAGGAGAGCTGCGATGTTTTGGAGCAAGTCTCCAGAAGAGCTGCCGCAGCTTTTTTTCTGAGGACCATTTGGAATTTTATGGTCTTGGAGAGGCTGCACAGGCGGCCGAGGCGGAGGTGCGGGGCTGCTTGGAATCGCTGGGTGTGCCTGAGCCGCAGGAAAGGGAGACCGTAAGGCGCTGTAAGGTTGGTTGCAGACCCCCTAGCCGGCAGCCAGAGAGATCAGGTTAATTAGGTTGGATGGGCCAGCCAGCACTTGATCTCATGCCTTTGTCACAGGTGGATTGTACGGGTGACTGGCTGGCTTCAATGCCACCTTCGATCTCGGAACCGGTCGCTTTGATGGAGCATGTCCCAAGCACAGCATGTATGAGGCTTTCCGAGTCGGGGGTTTCATAGTTTATGATGTATGAGTTTCTTCATTCTGAGTGAGGATCAGAACCATTCATCATTCACCAGGTCTGGAAGCCGTACGCACCACCCACTGAGGAAATAAATCGTGTCGGTGGGCTGAGAACCATGCATTCCATGCTACATGAATCTACATGAGCACTCCTCTTAATCGGTGGGGGTGGTGGTGGTGGTGGTGGTGGTGGTGGTTGGGTTGGCGGTGGTGGCGTGCAGTTGCGGCTGTGATACCCCTGGTCGTCGTCGTTAGAGAAGACTGTTGTGGTGGCGGTGGTGGTGGCGCGGCCAGTGGTGTAGAAGTAGGAGTTGTGCTGTAAAATATCAGTGGCAGCTAGCAAGAGCAGCTGCAATAGTTTCTGTAGCGGTGGAAGCCGTCGTAGCAGTCGTAGTAGCAGTCGTAGTAGCAGTCGTAGCAGCAGCCGGCAGCAGCCGTGGCCGAAGCTGTAGCCGTGGCGATAGCGGCAGCGGAGTCGTAGTCGTAGCAGTCGTCGTCGTCGTCGCCGTCGTAGTACTGTAGCAGCAGTAGTGTTGTCTCATGGCTTGGTTCGCAGTGTGGGTGGGCAGAAAGACCTGGCATGCAAGATTTGATGATAATTGGGGAGATGCGAGGAGGCTTGCTTTGCAGTTCCATAGTTTTATAGTTTGCAATTTGCCAGGCGTGCCCGTGCCACCCACGATTTTCCAACCTTCTCAGAATCTTACAAGCCATAGGCAGTTTCATGACGGTTCCTTGGTGAACAAATCACGGGATGCAGGCCCACATGCTATGATGTCACACGGGCTGACTGTTTCAAACAAAAGGCAGCGGAAGCACAACGAAGATTGCACTTTTGAGATGTCGAGGCGCCAGATTTCAACCCTTGGCTTGAATACCACAGGGGCTAATGAACTCTGCTGTAACCCTAGGGTTTAGGGTTTAGGGTTTAAACCAACCCTAAACCCCCAAACCATACTTGCTTGCTGTGTGAAACATACCGAAGCAGAGAGTGGCTCTCCAAGCGAACAATACTGATAACACAAAATAACAATAACACAACAGCAATAGCAATACCAGTAAAAATAGTACCAATCATCACAAGAATTATCATCGTAAAAACGTTAATGATAAGAATACTCAGTATAATACTAAGGGCCGTCTTGAGCCTTTACAGACACTGAAAATGCGAAGAAGCGCCAATGTCAAGCGTTACCCTACAATAACCATGGGTTCAACGCTGGCAGTGGGACCACTTCTTCCCGAAACGACAGAGTTTTAGACTGCCTGCTAACATGTGAAGCTGAACTAGCGCAGCGGAACCGAAGATCAGGAACATGGTGAGCTGATGGCACAACGCCAGGATGGTGTTTCAGATTGTCTGCTAACCTGTGAAGTTGAACGAACAACGCATTCTGGACCCGGGTGCCAACAGATTGCACTGCTTCAGGGTCTCTTTGGCCACAGCAGCACGACTTTTTGATGAGCACTGTGCACTCAGGCGGATGTGGACGAAAAGGCGGCTGCCTTCCTGACTTGCGTACTTGGGAGCTTGGACACCGACCCTAGTCACAATAAGGGGAGCTGCCTCTGCGCAGGCCAGACCCCGATTTTTCAAACCTCGAGTGGTAGGCCCTACTAGCCTCATCAGCCAGAACGCCTGAGGTGAAGTCGACCTGGCAATGAGCAGACAAGCAGAGACAGCTTTGTTCGTTCGGCTTGAATCGATTTGAGTTGAGTTTCGTTGGGGTGCTTGGGATCTACTCTGGAGCTGGATGTTTGGGCCAGCTGCCGTGCCGGAACCCTAAGGCTCAATGTCCAGACAAGGGCCAAGGGGCCGACGGTTTAGGATCGGCACCACATTGGTTAATGTGACGTGCGCACACAGGCTATGCGCCAAACGGGCAGCAATGAAAAGGCTTTCTCTGCATTATTTGATGACTCATTGAAGAGCGCCAGGTGCCTTATGTCAGCTGGGTGGTCCCTGTCCGTACCACACTCATGGACCCTGCAGGCTGAGCCGCGGAAGGTCTCTTGTGGCAATGCGTGCGGGCCTCAGCCAACTCGTGCTGGTCCGTGAAGTTCAAGTCGACCTGCCAAGCCAAGGCACACGGTCATGCTGGTACGTGCCGCGGAGGAGGAGGGAACCAAGCTCGTGGGTTCGGTGACCCAGAGTTTGCCTCTTCTAACCCCATATCAGGAGGGCTTCCAGGGTCTTGTTTCTTGGGTGGACGATCCTTCTTCCATCCAGAACATGTCGAAATATATCATCAGAGCCAGTTTAGCGAGCCGTGCGAGCTTTCCCATGCCCTTGTAGCAAGTCATCTCCAGCTGACAAAACAGCTTCCACAGTGGCGAAAAGGGCAACAGGCCATTTCGTCGATTTTCAGGCCGAACCAATATTGGTCATCGGTCATTAGCATTCAACCCCCCTTCGCCTATCGAGAACTCTCCATGACCACGCTACGCAACTCATTGCCAGGGGGAGGTTGACTACAATGTCAGATGCCTAAAGGAGCCCAGGGCCCGAATCGTATTATCAGGATCATCAGTCCCATCATCACCATACAGTGTAGGTGCAAAGGCAATCTCGACATAGGGCCTGCAAAGCGCAGTGCGCATAGCGCATACTATCGTTATGCCTGCATTCATGCAGCAGACTTGAGCTTTCAGGTTGGGGCAACAATCGCTACAATGCCCTCGGAATGAGGCGAGCGGGAGACAGAAACCAGGGCCTGCAGGATGTTGCAGGCTGTTGGCGACTTGCCGATGCAGGAAAGCGCTGGGCGACAGGTTTGCTGCATCCAAGGCTGACCAGGCAGGCTTGCAGGGCGCTTCCGCACCGACACTGTGACATTCTTGGCGTCGCACCCTATAACTTCTGAAATACAGAAAAAGTGTTCCCGAGATCCTTGGCATCCACTGGCCGTGCACGACGCGAGTGCCGCTTGGCTTGATGAGGCACAACACGCAGATCGAGAGGAACTGTGGCCTGAATTCAGCGAACACGTAATGCACGACAGCATCCGTGCAGCTGACATGCCCATGTCCATTAGGTTCGAGGAGGCTGAAAGTTCTCAAAAGAAGAAGCCGCACTCGCAACGACCTCAGCCAGAGTGGTCTCGAAATTGTTGGATTCCCGCAGCATTGTGACAAGGGGGGGGTGGGGGTTGCAATCATCGCCACCTTGACCACGTACCTAGATTTTGCTTATGACATAGTGCATTCTCCTCCTTTGTGTATTGCTTGTACTTGCTTGAGGCGGTGTCAAATGTGTCCACGACGGACTTCTCTGTCGAGTTGACCTTCTCGATGAGCCTTTTTGTGTTGGATGCTTTTTTTACTGTTTCCGCACATTGGGCCATGTGCTGTCTGTGGACATGTCCATGTTCAAAGCCCCAGTGCTGTGAGCCTGATTGTCTCTGTGATTCGGTCGAAAGCCAGTGAGTTGCCAGTTGGTTTCTCCTGAGTTCGACCAGATGCTGGCTGACTTCGAAAAGTGTGGCAGTGATTGGCAGCAGCAGCAACGCCGTTGCCACATCCGAGCTTTCGTCCCGCACCCCCTAAACCTGCTTGTCCTGCATCGAAAGCTGTGAAGTCTTCGAGTCGTGTTACTGAAAATCCCAGCCTGTGACTGCAGAAGATTCGCAGCCTGCGATCACAGCCGAAAGACGATGAGAACCAACGACTGCTACTTCCACGAAAGACTGTACCCTATCGTTGCTTGTTGGCCAGGACCCAAGCCGAGTGCCGACGACTGCGACGACATTGTGCACCTGTCCTTTCCTCGCCCCGTCTCCCCCTCCTTTCAGTTCCCCCCCTCTCCCGAACTGACCGAGGAATTTAGGGGAGTATGTTGGAACCTTGCCATTTTGTCAGGTTTCTTTATGCCATGTGGCACATCCTGCGCACCGTTTCAGGAAGGATGCAGGTGCGGAAGCTAAGGGTTGTTGGAGTGCCGTGATGCTTCTGTGTTTTTTTCGCTTTGAGACGCGCAGCATGGCTCTCCCTGCTGGGAGTCATCAATGGGTCTGTGGCAGTCGGAAGATGTCGCAGGATGGCACCTTGCTGACTTTGCAGCCATGACTTGCATTGACCCTTCCTGCTGATTTTGTAGGTCAAGTAAGGTCAGTAAGGATGTCTCTGCCCATTGAGATGAGCCCGCCTAGACGTTGAGCTCGGCGACATTGATGCAAAACATGCAAGCAGGGATTCACTCAGGTGTCGACTGTTGGTCGACAAAGTGTACCAAAGTACGATTTCACGAATACTTTGGCACTCTCCGTGCGTGTTCTTGTTAGACCCATTCCATTCTTGTTGGTGCCCGTGCCGACCGGGTCTTTTGCTTACCTGGGGTCCTATTTTTTGATATCCAGCCTGCTGGGCATCTGCCCTAGACACATGCACATGCATGCTGACGCTCAGAGTCAGAGTTCGGACACATTATGGCACTTCGTCATGGCGCGATGGATGGTCCGAAGACCCGACTGACCGGTAGCAGATGGGGCTGCAGGGGCTTTACTAACTTGTCTCCTTATCAGTCTCCGTCGATGTCTGGTTGTGTAGTTCCGTTTGGGTGACTGCGCAGTTCACTGCCAGCATTCGTTGGTTAAATGGCCGTTTCGCACCGAGTGAGAAAACAGATGCGTTTTAGGAAATTGTAGAGGGTAGTTCCTTTGCGCAATTTGGTGCAGTGGACTCAACCCCGCAACCTCGCCTTCGCTTGGCCTACACTTTCCTGGAGTGTTGGATGGACAGCGAGGTGGATGATCCGGGCTGCGTCTAGTCGGCCCTTCCAGGTATTGTGCAACGGTTGTAGGGTGACCCCCACAATCGTGGGATGTCACTTGCAATCAGTAACAAAGGTAGACACAAGTTAGGAATGTTGCTAGTGTGCATTCCGGAACCATACATCAGACCCAAACCCCGCCTTTAACCCCAATCCTAACCGGCTCAGGTCTCGTCACTTTATCGAAGTCGCTTGTGGGAACAACCATTCTGCCGTGCTGGAAAACCTGGAGCTCAACTCTCAGCTTGTCCCACTGGAATGGTATTTTTGAAAACGAGTCGCACGCGGAATCATGCCAGAATGACAAGAGACGTATCACTTGAGTGTTCCTATGCGGCACCGAAGCACCTCGATCAACTGATATGGCTGGCATCGCATGGCTGCCTAGGCCGTCTCAAGGGCGGAGATCTCAGCGCGAATTGATTGCCGCCTTCGAAGTATAGCACATATTCATTGTGTTCGTTCATACGGGCAATTTCCAGTGTTTCTCGACGCAGGTCGACTTTCTCCAAGACCCGCCTTATGACCTGCGGGAACAACTCCAACGGACAGTTGGGCCAGCATCTGAGAAGAAGGACTCTCAGCTGGTCAGAAGAGTCTGGTGACAGTGTGGGCCATTCTCCTTGAAGGTTCCAGAGAGCTAAAGACGAGCCCCGGGCAGGATAGTCGACTGGCTGAACTAGCTGCTCCAACCTGAACATTGCAAACCCCTCCTCGCCAGCAACATAGTGTTCGCAAGATGATGAAGGCCTGCCCGCATCAAAGCTCTCAGCTCTTCAGTGCCTAACACAGACAACAGACGCCGGGGACTTGTCCTGCAGCGGGACAGCAGAATGCCCCAAGGTCAGGGAACCACAGAGCCCGAGCCTTGTGCGTTTTTGGCCTGGCAAGCAATTCTGCAGCAGTTTGGGAGCTTTTTGAGGGCCTACAGTAGGGTTCCAGCATCACAGCCGCGGAAGGCTCAAAAATCAAGGGAGCTCGTGGGAGCGGGCCCGCCCCCCGTGCTCGCGCTGCGAGGGTGCACCCGCAGCCATCTGCGGGATGAGCCAAGAAGCGGATTACGAGGAATTTCTGGCCTTGCGCCGGCACGTCCGCAAGCTACAGGCCGTGGTTTACCGAATCCGAGTCCTCAGCCTGTCACGCTCTTTCTCTGCAGGCCGGCACCCCGCTGCTACTGCGCACTCAGGGGGCGCAGGGCCAAGATCTGGATCTTCAGATCTGCTCCTTCCAAATCTCCCAGGACCAAATAGCTGAAACCCCTCGCAGCATTTGTCCATGGGTGTACTGTTTGTTGTCTTTGTCGCTTGTTTGAGGTTTTCGGATTGGTTCGCCTGTTCAGATTGAATTCGCTAAGAACTGAAAGTATGTCGCAGAGGTTCCGAGGACCCCTTAAGAAATCTTGAAAACGAAGGAACCGGAGGAAAGGAAGCAAAGCAAGAAGAAGGAAAGGAGGAATGAAGGAAGACAGGAAGGAAGGAAGCGTGGAACGAAGCAATAAAGGAAGAACGAAGGCAGACAGTGAATTGACTCCAAACCTTGGACGGGCACAGGGTTTACGCTGCACGGTCGACTTGGGTCCCTCCTCTCCCTTTCCCTTCCCCTCCAGTCCCTGCCTTTGTTCGTTGAACCAGGCCTACCCCTCTCCGCACACGATCACCGTTCGTGGTTTCGTGTGTGCCAGCCGACATCGACATGTCCTTGCTTCAGGTTCTTAGACTTGCTGAGGTCGACTTGGTGGTTAGTAGCTATGTGTGTGGGAGCATCGCTGGACGTTTAGCTTCATATTGGCTTTTAGTCCTGAAGTTTGGCTGGAGGCTTGGCATCCTTTGGTCTCCCAGCACATAGCTATGCTCTAATTTTGAGTGTTTGCCTCCAGTTCTGATTCCAAGATTTGTTTGAATCGCGATGGGTACTGTGTTGCGGGTCGAGCTGGGCAGTAAAGGCTGCAGTTGAGTCCCTTGCTGAAAATTCGAATCGTGCTTGCACCGAGATGAAACAGTTCAAATCATTGGACATGCGAGCTCAATCTTATGGAAGCTTGTGCTTTCGTTACTGTAAGTAACTGGTAGTTTGCTTTGTCAAATTGTGTAATCGGTGGGAGACGGAGTTTGGAGGGCTTGCGCAGTTGCCGTAGAAGCCCAACTGAGAGTGCGGTTGTGTGCAGGACCTGCAGCTCCTCTCTTGGCGGGACTGCGAAGGGAGCGGTCCCTCCCGGCCGCTTGGTTGAGAGCAGGGCAAGGAGCACCATATACTTGTGTAAAAGGCTCATGACCGCACAGGCAGATTCCGCTCAGCAAAATCGTCGCGGTGGAAGACGCCAGCCTTTCGTCCCTGCCTGGGGCCTCCAACGGCCATTTGCTTGGATTGAACACTCTTATGAACATGTGCTTCACTTCAGAGGAACTTGCAATCCGTCTGCCACAGCATTGCACCCTGGCCATTCAATCAGGCGAGGGGCATCATGCGCTGCAGGTGAAGCTGCGGCAGGACTGTATGACACAGTCGCTCCTGATTTCGGGTCCGCGGTCTCGATGCTCTCTCTGTGAAGCAGAGAGAGTTGACCTAAGTTCACACGCAAGATCCAATTCTGGCCGTGATGAATTTAGTCGTACTGTCTGCTTTGTCAAATAGTTCAGAGCAGCTTTGCGACTGGCTCTGCAGGAGAAAGGCTCGGCCCTGCCGGCACAGATCGAGTTGATCTGTGCCCTGGAACAGACAATCGCAGGTGTAGACGAAACCCAGCATCTGCGTTCGAGTGGCCTTCGAAGCGCGTCTCGGCAATCTCAGGCACCTCCAAGGAGGATCTCGAGGCATGGCTTCATGGGCTGCGCTTCCTCGTGGCCGACCAGGGTGGTGAGGTGGCTAAAGCGCCGCAGGCGCAGGAGCCGCCAAAAAGTGCAGTGTACCATTCAAGTCAGATCGCGGCTCGAAGTCGCGATTCTGTAAAGATTATTATAGATGGTTTATGGAAGGGCTGCAGATGTCGGCTAGGCTCGGGCATGTGTGCGAAGTCGACTGCAGGGGAAGTCCAGCGAACAAGGCATTCAGGAGAAGCTGAGGCTGCAGGACACGGACACAAACAAGTTGAGTTTGTGCAAGTGGAGAGTGGGCGTGCTACACTTTACGGGCCCACCAGGAACAGCTCTGCGAGCAGCTGCGGCAAGAGAACAGCATGCTCCGAGACATCGTCAAGTATCGCGCTCAAAAATTACTTGCATCTTGTTTCCGGTGCTGTCTTAAGGCAGAACTGACATGCAGTTGGTGACAAGATGTAGAGACTCTGTCGGCAATCCATGGCCACACAACACTACGAATTGGATTTTTGAAAGGTCGTTGATCAAAAGTCAGCTTGTTCATGTTGGGGTTCGAACGTACTAGTCTCGTGCCAAATACGGATCATTTGATGGACAAGCTCGTAGCCAGATATGATGGCAACATGCGCACATGTTTGTTTCATGGGCACGTGGCACTTTGCCATGTTTTGCTAGGACCCACATGGTTAACGAGCGGCGATGCATGAAGGTTTTGCGACCATGAAGTTTTCGAAGCCTTGAAAGTGCAGCGTCACAGCGATGCAGTCTGTTTGCAACATCTTGTTTGATACTCATCCTTTGGTTTCGCCACAGTCATTGCGCAAGTTCATGCTGTTTTTGCATGCTTGTTTCAGATTTCTGATCGTTTTTTCCCGCCCTCTGCGCAGCACGAGGAGAAAGGACGAAACGATCTCGGAGCTTCTGCGCGACAGCCAAAGCTACTTGGCTGTGGGATCGTGGGGCCGCACCATTCACCTGTGAGTCTGAGTAGATGCTTGGAGCAAGCTTTAGCCCAGGCAAGTCCATCAAGACCGAGTCGACTTCGCGGGAGAGCGACGAGCACTTGCAGCACCCTGCCCGATGCGGTAGGAACTCGTAGGTAGGGCCGATGTGCCCCGGCCCGTCGCCTGCAGGTACCGCGAGGTCGCCATTCTTAGGCGGAAGAACAAGCGCCTACAGCTTGACCTGAAGTCCAAGCAGCAGACCATCGCAGGTCGGACAGCCAGTTTCCTTTGGTGTTCAAATCCGTCCGGGTATGCGTACGACACTGTAGCGAAAAAGCATGAAGGCAAGACCCCACGTGTCCAGACAACACAGTGCTTGTCGTGACGCAGTTTCGGAATAGACTAGGCACGGGAAGTCCACTGCTTGCTGCGAGTCATGGCGAGTACCTCTAACGCTGCACGTCCTGGCAGTGCGAAGCGCTACTGCAGGATAGGCGCACTATGGCAAAGAGCTAAAGCTGAGATTCACCCGTTTTGGCCCTCTTCCAAGAAGTTAGAGCTAAGGACCGGTTACTACACAGCTGCTACAACGCCTCCTGCACCCACCTGTTAACCAGGGTTTGGGCCGAGACTTGAGCCAGGGTCACGAAAACCAGGTTAACCGCGAACGGAGAGTCCCGCGACCCGTAGGCCAGTCGTCCATGCAACTAATTAGCCCGGGCTTGCCATGCTTTAGCATGGGTGTGCCTTCGGGGGGTCCAGACTACTGCTAGTAGGCACGTTGGCCAGGTTTGGGCCTTGAGGACAGGTACTCAAGGCCAGCCGCACAGGCAAGCGTCCTAAAGAAAGCCTGGACAGGAGGAAAGCTTCACCGCGGGTCACAACTGTACAGACAACCTACTCCTGACTCAGGGAGAGGCCCACTACCTCGTCACTTGAGTCTCAGGGCAGAGCAAGCTCAAAGCAGCCACTAAGCCAGTGCAGAGAGCAGGCTGTTGCAAGGTTAGCCATCACGGTGAATGGCACCAAGACGACTCGACCTGGCTTTCTCGCTCTTACTCACCAGGGAGAAACAGCAACTTGGTAACCAGAGCCACCCCCGGGGAGGACAACCTCACCTCGGAAGACTGTAGTGCTAGCTTGACTCTTCCCAACTGACGCCAGGAGTGGGCAAGCAAACAACCAGCTGGGCAGAGCCTCCAAACGAAGGCGAACTAGCAGCAACTACAGACGAGAGAAAGTTGGAGACTGCAGTGAAACGCGGAAAGGCGAGGCCTTAGGCACCACGAAGACACGGCAGCAGGAACCGCGACAACGCAGAGCTAAGGGAGGCCAAACCGACGCCACTGCTGCCGCGAGACCGCAACACAGGCAAAGCCGAATGTGCAGTAGCGGCTGAGACTAAAGGAACTAAACCAAAACCAACGGGCACACACAGGAGCGAAGGCACGAGAGCACCTAAGCAACTGCGAGCACGGTGGAGCGCCACCTTTTGGGCTAAGCGGAGAAGGCGCAGGCACCGTCACAGGCCCAAGGCTACTGCAGAGAGCGCACAGTGGCAGAGTCAACGCGCAAAGACTGCGCTAAACCCTCTCAATAAAGCGCGAGGGTAAACGCACCCCTCATCAATGTACAGCGTGCAGGTGTCGACACTCCCCTTTCGTCGCGGGGACCACGCCGCACAAGCCAGTGCACACCGACGCTGCACTGGGAGCCCGCCGCAGGTGCAGGCACACGAGACTGGACACAAACGTGGGACCTGCGAGCCTGGCAAAACGAACACAACCAACAGGAAAAGTGAGGCCACAAGGCCTGGAGCAGTAACCAAGGTCTGCTCGGAAACGCGAAAAGCTCAAGACCCATGCAATCCTGCAGGATGGATGGAGACGAGAGCCCCTGAAGCACGTCCAGAGTGCAACAAGCGCAAGTAGTGCTGGAAAAGCTTGTAACCCTCAAGCAAGGCGCCCGAAGCACTGTAAATGGCATCCTAAACCCCGGCAAGTTTAGGGCAACTTAGAGACAAGAATATCCAATAAAGTGCGCACGGAAGGGCGTGGCAACCACAGCACCCTCTGCAGAGCAGCACGGGCGCACAGTGAGCTCTGCAGCGAAGCCACGCGCAAGGCTCAACGCGGAGCCAGGACTGACTGCACAAACCCCTGTAGTGGGAGACACGCAGAAGGCCAGCAGGAAACTGCTACTAAGTGCAAGGCAAGGACCGGTATGAGGCCTGCGTGAAAGGAGCTTGCAAGGCAGCCAAGGACCGCGGAGGAGCCTGACGACTAACAGGCTAGGCGCGCACAAACACTGCTGGCCGAGCGCGACGGGGTGGCAACCACTCCTCGTGTAGGCGGGCACACGTACCCCTGGCACCAGACCCGCCAGACCACGGGAGCAGTCGCAAAACCAAAGACAGCTCAGGCAAAGCAGCGCCGACCAGAAGGTCGCCAAGACACGCAGGGCAGGCACCAACCAAGAACACACTCACCGAGCTAAGCGTGCGGAAACCACGGCCTGCAAGGGTGGAAACTAACGCCACAGCTGTGAAGTGTGTGGAAAACAGTGCTTTGTACTGAACGCAAACTAAGTCAAGCCGCCAGGCAAAGAACCGGCGGTGAGCGGAAGTGGACCTCAGGGACTACACTTGGGAAGCAACTTCTGTGGGAGCTGGCTACCCAAGGTATGGCACCACGACACTCGGGGAGAGGCAGTGCGACTACACCAAACCCTCAAGCCACCCGAGGTGTGGATGCCCCTACAGACGGCGAGGACTCGCACCACTCCGCAGTGTCAACCACTAACCAAAGCAGGGTCTGACCTGATTGAAGCCTCCTATACCACTCACTCAAGGCTACGCCTCAGGCCAAAGAAATCCCCTACTCGCTGCGGGACCTTACACCCAGCTGTTGCAAATGCCGCTTGGCAAGTGTGGTGGCCAGGGTCTTCGGGCTGGTGATGTCGAGGTTGC